GGGCCACACGCTCAGCACGCAGCTCTGGAAGTGAGCGGGGCCGCCCCGCGCCCGCCCGCCCGCGCCCACACCCCTGTTCTGTCCCCCGATGAAGAACGTGACTGACCGACCGTGCCGGCTCTGTGCTGATTGACATTCGATGTAGTGAAAAGCAGATGGAGAAAACGTTTCTCTCTCATCGGCAGCTTTGTCATACTGCAGTGCACTCATGATCTCCTAGACCATATATTTAAGAAGCTGCTTAATCACATATTGATTTTTTTTTTCCCTCAAAATTGTAGATCAAATGTTTGCATATAAGGGATGTAGCTATCATGTTAGTAATATCTAAAAATATAAACCCTGCCCTCCCAAATTACCCAGTAATCCTGTAGAAGGTACTCTATGAACAAATGGTTAATCATATATATATAAATAGAATGTAAATGTATCACTGAGCAATGTTTTCTAGTGTATCAAACGAATTTTGTTTCATCATACATTTCACTGTGATGTTACTATGGTGTGCGTAACAGGGAACATGATTATCGAAAGAAAGATAAACCTGGATGTTACTGTAGTTCTACAAATTAATAGTTTATTTTCTACTTAAAAAAAAAAAAAACATATTTGATCCATTGGAGTTTCCTGTGATAAAATATCCAACCTGGCTTGAGGCTTGTGCACAGTGTTAACGCTGGGAACTAGTGGCACAATCTCTGTACAAGGCAACTCAGTGAGAACAGGCACGTTTTTCCTTGCAGAGATATCCAGGTTTATGGCAGTGATTGTGTTTACATTTTATGGTGCCTCGTAATAATAAAATGTTATTTCCCTATATTAAAAGGATAAATCCATAAACACTTGTGGATTTTCTTTTTTTTTTTTTTTTATTTCATGATTGTATGACCTGCCTGATCACTTTTTCTTCAGGAAGTTTGTTCTTTAATGAAGGAAAACATATTCAACTTGGAGGATTCCTTTACATAAATACTTGGTGGTCAACAGCTTGTGATTTAAAACCAGTTTATAATTACACCATTCGGCTGGATAAATACAAAACCTATATACATAAACGATGATTCTGGAAATGCTCCATTGCAGTCACGTTTGTCTCTCGATTGTGTTTGCTAYGTGGAAACAGTCTTAAAACAAAGGTAAGTGTCAGTTTAAGAGCGAGTTCAGCAACGCATGCAACACGTTAGAACGAAGCACACCGTCCGGTTCGCGCAGCGGGGCAGGAGACGACAACCCTTTAGTTTCCACCCAAGCCAGTGTCCCTCGGGCAGCGATCGGAGACGCCACCGGAGCCGACGGCTCCACGTGGCCGAGCGGCGCCGCGCCGGGCCCTGGGCGCCGTGCGCTCGTGTCCCCGGTGCCTCCACATCACACCTCGATGTTGACCGTGTCCACGTGGTATTTTGGCTCATTCGCGAGGTTTACTTTCTCTGTTCGTGTGTGCCAGACAAGAACCTGTAAAAGAGCAGGTTTTTGGTAACCTACTAGCTTGGTAACCTGCAAACCTGATACCAGGGCGTGTTAGTAAGTGTGAAGTTCGTCAGTACCTTTGTGCAGTTGTTTGCTTTGGGTTCCAGTTCCTCCACTGTCGTTATCTGTTTTAGGAAATCAGATTCTTGCATTCCTGGTTGAGACCCGCGCCGCTTGAATACAGCTTTGGGATGGGCCAGAATCACTTGGAGACTCACAGCAAATCCTTGAGGGAACGAAAAAAACAGATTAAGAAAAACCTCTAGGTTTTACATTATTAGATTTTTGAGCAATTTATATTTAACCCTAGAAATTTTATCTCAATTTGTTTAATCTGCTTTTAAAARCATGTAATACCAGTCTTTACAAGAACAGACAGTAGTCGGTAGGGCTCTACATACTGTACTGCTTTGCTTTTTGCTGTGAAGATGGAGATTTTTTATTTATTTACACGGTACCTTCTACATGTTCTGTTTGTTTTCATMTTTTATCTTAAAATTGGGTATTACTAGTATCTCAAGAGTGTATCCACCCTTACTATTTCTGATTAAGAAATAAAACTGCTTTTCAGCTAAAATAAGATGTTCACAAAGTACTGATACTTCGGGGTAGTAAAGGTGGGAGTCAAAAAAGAAAAATGGAATAAAAGAACAGCAACTTCATCCGAACCACTGTGGTCAGTTAGCCTGTAGAGAGTTTTCCAAATATTACTGCAGAGAGGCAAGTGAAATCAATGTTTGTCCTGCACGTAGCTGTCTCAGCCTTCTGAAAGTGGTCCCCGCCCGCCGCGCGTGGCACCGGCCGGCGGCAGAGGCACCAAGGGCCCCTCTGAGGTCGTGGCTCTCCCTGCGGCACCCTCACGGAGCTACAGAGCTCTCCTGCGGAAGGTCCTTGAGACCTTCCCTGGAAGTCTCGGCAGGCCTTTGTGGGAACTTTCGTACAGGCAGAGTGTGTAAGGAGGCTGGATTTAAATTTTTAGAGGAACAGAGCTTTAATTTGGGGATGCTTCATGAAAGAAAAGTGTGGTTGGAGGCCTGACCAGCTCTGCAAGCTATTGCTTCTTTCAAGAAAGCGTTAAGAGTCCAAGATGTCATTTGTAGTGTTTGTTGAAGCTGGTAATAGCTGAAGAGGGAAAGCAGATGTGCTTTGATCTCCGCACTGTTATCGGGGAAAAGACCTGCAGGAAGTGTTTGCCTGGTAAGCTGCAGGCCGCTGGGTTTGGGCACGGAGAAGGAGCCCTCCTAGGCAGAAAGGAGGGAGAAACACCCTGTGGGGCAACTCCGCGTGCCCCGAGCTGGGCCCCTGTGCCGGGAGCTGCCCTGGCCGCTCCTGGGCTCCCGTCCTGCGGAACGAGCGGCTCCGCCGGGAAACCTGGATCCTGTGCGGGTGGGAGGCTCCAAACACGGACCCTGTGGTTTTGGTTACAGATAACTTAATTCTGTCCAATCAGACAGAAATACTAACCAAAGACACTTAAAGGAAGTCTGGCCTGTGGTGTACATTGTAGAGACTAAGGTGAGATCCGAGCATGCTTCCTATGTTCTCATCATTAAAGAAATTACTAGCTGCTTTTTTTTTTTTTAAAGTGTTTTCCCTCCATTCACGTTGAACCGAGAGTCTGGAAATACCTTTAAAGCCCGAGGACTGCACTTTCGGGAAGGCAGCTTGCTTCCCACCCCAGCCTCTGGGGCACGTCTGTCTGCACCTGAAGGACAGTTTTCTTTCCTCGGCAACTTGATGTTGCAGTGCTTAAAGAGCTCATCTGCTATAATCTTTATACAGCGGGTATAGGATTTTACTTAGTTCTGTTTAAATAGAACATTTGTTATCACAGATGACGAAAAGCAGTATTAATAGTACCAAGAATATTTACTGCAGAACATAGCTAAAAGATAATTTCATCAGGAAGTATAAAAATCTTCAATTGTATGCGGTAAAAAATGTACCAGAGTACCTGTTTGCAAAGTAATCCGGACAGGCTGATTTCAGCCAACAATAAACACCTCCTAGCATTACTTTTTAGCACTGCCTTGAAAACAAAGGTAGCTTTACCCTAGAAGCAGAATTGYTTTCTTCAGGTGAGCTGCTGCTGCYCTGTCTCTCCACGTAAGCTCCAAGTTTTCTGCAGCTGAAGAGGCCACAGAGGACAGATGAGATGGGGGGCAGACGAACACGGGGCAGCTCGTGGGAGCCGTGGGGCCAGCGCCAAGGTCTCGGAGCTGCAGGAGGCCCGTGTTTAGCTCCGAGCAGAGGGCGGCTCTTTGCACCACGGAGACGAGCGAGTCGCGCTGGTTCTCGGGCGGCAAGAGCCGCTCTGTCCCTTGCCCTTCCCTGCTTTACCAGCAGCGCTGCCCTCTCCTGCCTTGGCAGTGTCAGTGTGGAGGAAAGGGAACAAGTCACTCGTCTGGGGGGGTTTTTCACAGGGCTTTACCTTCTGCTTCTGTGGGGAGCCCGTCTCCTGAAGCCCCAGGTGCCTGGTCTCTGCCTACCTGTGCTGCCTTTTCTCCTACACCTCTCTAGCCTCTAAATGCTCTCCSTCTTGTTAACAAACTTGTCCCACCCTTATTTCCCATCCTCTCCTCCTTGCTCGCAGTACCTAATTCCCCCTTCCTCCCCAAAATGSTAAGGAATTCTGTGCCAAACTCCATAAATCACCCACAGCTAAAACCAAAGTGGAAGTTACCGGACGAACTGGCTCACTGGCCTGTTTGCCAGAGAAGCAGCAACACCAGAAGCATCTGCTAGTGTTTCTGAACACAGCTGAGGAGCGCGGAGTAACAGCGTTCAGCCACTAGCGCCTCAAAAGGAACGGCCAGTGTTTACTGTACTGATCCAAGGTGGGAGGAGTTTTCAGGAAGGGCTCTGGGGAAACCGATCCCACAGGGGCTTTGCGCTGACCGCAATGCACTCAACGGGGCCGCCCCTCTTGCGCTCGCTCTGGGCTCCTGCATCCTAGTGACTGTCCAACAAGGGCTGCCAGTGTGACGGCGCTGCGTGGCAGGCTGCTTTCATGGAARGTGATTGATAAGCCCAGGTTGGAAACATTTCTGCCTCCATCTCCTAGGCTGTAGCTGTCAGGGCTCCTAAGCCCACTGCTTCCAAATATGTCCATGTACAGCTGTCATTGTCATTAGAAATAACCAGCCAAAAATGAGTCAGCAGAGAGCAACAAAGATCATTAAGGGACTGGAGTGTCTATCGTATGAGGAAGGACCGAGTGAGCTGGGCCTTGAGAGGGGATCTGTCAATATGTGTAAGTATCTGAGGGGAGAATGTAGTGAGGAAGGGGCCAAGCTCTTCTCAGTGGTGGCCAGTGACAGGACAAGGGGCAGTGGGTGTAAGCTGAAACACAGGCAGTTCCATCTCCATGGGAGGAGGAACTTGTTGACTGTGAGGGTGCCAGAGCCCTGGMACAGGCTGCCCAGGGAGGCTGTGGAGTCTCCTTCTCTGGAGATCTTCCCAACCCGCCTGGATGCCGCCCTGTGCCCCGTGCTCTGGGTGTCCCTGCTGGAGCAGGGGGCTGGACTGGATCTCTAGAGGTCCCTTCCAGCCTCAGCTATTCTGTGATTCTGTGAGTAGCACGTACAACRTGAAGTCTTAAGGACTTCCTTTATACTCCCTGGTGTAGATTGGTACAATGAAAAGCAGGGATTTTCTGAAGAAAAAAAAATCAGGTAAATTATTTACAATTAACTAGTTTTAAATAAACAATTCATGCAATATTACAGCCCAGCTGCCCCATGACATTAAAGCACCTCAGAAGCCGCCGGGCAGCCGCCCCGTCCTTACCGGCCATGTCAACGGCGAAGGGCCGGTCGGCCCGCCAGCCCGTGTACCAGCCCACCACCTTGCCGTTCTCCACGAGGGGCCGCTCGTAGCGCCGGCCGCCCACCAGGCCCACGGGCCACACGGACACCTTGCGGGTCGAGCGCATCTGCGGGGGCAGCACAGCGACACCGTCACCCGCTCGTCCTGCTGCTCACCTCGGCTGCCCGGCTCGCTCCGTTACTTCTTCCCTTCTCCCAAGCGTCAACGGGAAGTCTTAATGCCAGGAGTCAGTCCCAGGGGTTGAAGAGCAATTCCGTCCTGTTCATTCCAGCTTGACAAAATGCCCACTCGAAAGCTGGGCATTGCCACTCCAGACYTCTAGCCAGGAGACACTTCAGTTCCATTGAAAATACTCTATTATTTGTTATAGCAATTTTTTTTGAGCTATGAAAAAACATAACGTGTTTCCCTTTTTGTTCATTTGGATATTTATAGATGTATCTATAATAGATCTTTCTTCTCTGCAAGAGCACAGTATTTTTTCAATAGTTTATTTCTAGAGGTTGTTTATACATTATAGATACCCAGTGAGAAAAAGCATGACCATAATGCTTTAAAAATAAGCATTTCATTAGAAAATAAGCATTTAAAGATAAGCATCTTCATTTCAAGACATGCATAATTAGTTGAAGACAGTAGCAAATGCACTGAGTGCAAGAAATTCTGACACACAGCTCTTCCCATTGCTGCACCATACCACACTTACCCAAAAGATGCAGCTTTGATGCAGCCTTGATCTAATAATAAAAAATATTTTWAAAAAAATGGAAATGGATTGTTTTGACATGTCTTTTCATGAGACATTGTTTTTCATGTCTTTTCTAGGTAGACTTGAAATGTTTCTGGAAATGAAGTAGAAACAAACACGCACGGGCTGATCWGTTTGATGAGGATGGGTTGACCAACAGCAACTGTTTGTTGGTTCAGTAGCTAGAAATGAAGGCCTGCTCTAACCTAGGGGAATTAATAGCTATTAGAGAACTACTGTCTAGCAACAAGTATGCCCGAGATTCCATGACTTCCCGTTCCCTGGTGGGAATATCACCYGCCAAGAGCCCTGACGTGCGGCTCCCACTGCAAAGTCACTAACACCAGCAYGAGAACTAAGAGCACAAGCCCACAACTGAGACAGAGAGTTTACAGCCTCTGGCTATGTAAGGTAGATGACAGTAGGATATTTCTTTTAATCCTCCAAGAACATCCTTATTGTATTTAACATATTGAGGTATTAAGGCTGTGTTCATTCAGGATTAGAGGAAAACTGCAGTCGGATTCAGAGGTCAGCTTTTATCTGGAATTTGATGCTACCAATAATTGGGCCATAAGAAGATAATTCAAAAAAATATTAATTCTAAATAGCTTTGTTGCGGTGGGTTAAACATCTTCCAAAATCCTGTAAATTACATCAACATCTTCCTAAATGACTCCTGCACCTATCATTTGAATGTACAAYAGCACAYTGTCTCAATATTCAGCCTATTGAGTGCCAGCAGTTTACATGAACTGGATTTATCTCACTTAATTCGTGCAAGGCAGACATCTAGTCTGTGCTGGCTGCTTGGAGTGACTGCAGTTAATGAACAGGGAGAGCAGCCTCCTGACTCACGTGATTCATCCTGCCTGCCTTGGACAGCTGCCCTGCGATAGGGACAATCTCCCTCTGGAAATGCTTTCTTCTCCCTTTACTTTGTGGTTGTCTGGAAAGGGTCGAGACACCAGAGGAGAGGGATGTATTGGCTGGAGGGAGATGGGGGATGAGGGGAGGCTCGGTRAAATAAACCAAGAAGAGGAGAGGAGGCAAATGTGCAGGGGGAAATGAGGGGGAATGGGCAGAGAAGTGAAGAGGAGAAGCAGAATGAATGACAAGAGAGAGACAAATGAGGTGACGAGTAGGCTGTAGTAAATACAGTAGTAATACAAGGCTCACTTAGAAAGTAACCAGCAAAAAATGCAGAAAATGAAGCGGAGAAATAAAAGACAGTCATCAAAGCACTGCTAAAAATAGCATCTCATTAGTCAGTCAAGACAAGCTGCTTAATAAGACACGGGGGGTGTGGGATGATGGACATGGAAAACGCCAAGCCAGTAAGAGACGATAAAAGCCTAAATGTCAGAGAGAAGGAACGGCGGCCGCCCTCGCTGCGCTGGGAAGGCTTCCCAGCTGCACCAGCCCTGGCGTGGCTGCCACCGGAGCTGGACACGTTTCTATCYGGGATTCGAAGTCCGCGGAGCCTTTGGCTGCCACATGCAGGAAGCCTTTTGCCTTCTTCCACTCTCTCTCACTTCTGTCCTGGTGCAATTTGCAATCTGTGCTGGTGAGTGCACAGGTTATCACCCACACTCGCCCTCCCATCCCCCTGGGGTTGAAGGAGATGCATGCACAGAACTCCACTGCTTATTACCAAGACGTGGCTCTTGGGGAGAGGAGACACTGCGGCTGAAGTGCAGCTAGAGCCACGTTTCCTGGGCTCGCTGCAGCACTCGGGGCCACGCAGAGCTGAATTCGGCCTCCCCAGGACCTCCGTGACCGCACTGCAAGTCAGCAGAGCCMCAACGGGCTGCCCACGCTGCAAACAGAGCCACGAAATGGGGCCTCTGCCCCTGCTTCCCACCMCTTCAACGGGGTTGCGGAGTCCCAGAAAATCCGTGCCAGTGGCTGGCAGCCCAGGGACTGTCCGGGCTTCAGGGATAAGGGCAAAAGCAGCTTGTTGTCAGTAAACACGAGTGTAACTCGTTTCCCCAGAAAACTTGCAGTAAGTGTCTGCAAACCAAAGAAATTTGTCAGTCCCTTATCTGGCCCCTTCACACCTCCCCAGGCTGATAGACAGCATTAAAACTGCTCCTGTCTGATGTTTCTCTCATCCGTTCTTAAAGACACCAAACAATAAAAAACTCCTTGAGCCTCACAGGTGATCTGATCCAGTGCCCTGACTTTAGAAAGCTGCTCCTAAATACCTGTCCTAAGCTTCCTCTGCTGATTCTTATCCCATCCACACTGAATGGGAGGAATAGATTAATCTCTCTTTATCTCCCACAACATTTTATACATTGGATACAGTTGATTAATGTTTCCAAATAACACTGACATCATCCTTGGGTATAAATTTCGACACTGCTTCCCTGCAGGAGAAAACTGCACTCAATTTTGCTAGAATGAAAAACTTCCCAAACATCCATTATTCATGTTTCCTTTCAACTCTTCTACTCCCTCTCTTTCTTGTGCTGCTCTGTTACTCTCCTGGGCTCGGTGTCCCCACATCATGCACGGCGCCCCTGAAGAGCTGCTTGCCACCCTGAATATCACAGCAGATTACAGTTTCATGGCTGCAAATAAGACACAGAAACAGACCATGCATGGTACCTCGTAATCCAGAGTTCCTCATTCTGATTTATCTGCTTCAAGTCTTTTTTTTTTTTGCCTCGTTCATTTTAAAGTTAATTTATTGTTTCTCCACCAGTCTCTTCTAATCCAACCTTTTCAGCACAGCTCTCACATGTCTGCGTGCAGGAAGAACGTCAGTATGCATTTAAGAACTGTCATGGACTCTTAAATCATTTATAATCTAGAAAGGTATTTAATGCACTGCTAACTCATATTTGGATCTTTCTTATTACAAGGAAAATAGCTAATGACAGCCAGCTAATACTTCTGCCTAGGCCACTGAATGTTATTTTTAAGACTAGCAACAGTTTGATTTTCCAACCAACAACATGTGACGGAAGATCTTCATGTTTGTGAAAGATAAAAAGRTTCACTCATATTGCCTTAAAAATTTACAATAAATATATTCTTTGTTGTTTTTTAAATAACTGTCTTARTCTAAATACTCTACATTAAGCCATGAAGGAGCACTCACTCTTCACTGGATAGTAYCAGAATACATAATAAATACTCACATCTGTGATGCACTTTTGAGTTGCTTTCAAAATCTTTTACAAAGATGGTCTTGGGACAGGGGTCAGTACTGGGCCCAGTGCTTTTCAACTTGTTCATCAATGACTCGGACGGGGGCACAGAGAGCACCCTGAGCAAGTCTGCGGAGGACACCAAGCTGGGTGGAGTGGCCGACACTCCGGAGGGCTGCGCTGCCATCCAGAGGGACCTGGACAGGCTGGWGAGTTGGGCAGAGAGGAACCTCATGAGGTTCAATAAGGACAAGTGCAGGGYCCTGCACCTGGGGAGGAATAACCCCAGGCACCAGGACAGATTAGGGGTCGACCTGCTGGAAAGCASCTCCACGGAGAGGGACCTGGGAGTCCTGGTTGACACCAAGTTAACCATGAGTGAGCAGTGTGCCCTCGTGGCCAAGAAGGCCAATGGGATCCTGGCTGCATCAGGAGGAGTGTTGCCAGCAGGTGAAGGGAGGGGGTCCTGCCCCTCTACTCAGCTCTGGTGAGGCCGCACCTGGAGTATTGGGGGCAGTTCTGGGCTCCCCATTATAGGAGGGACGTGGAGCTTCTGGAGAGGGTCAAGTGCAGAGCAACAAAGATGATTAAGGGACTGGAGTGTCTATCTTATGATGAAAGACTAATAAGCAAGCTGGGCCTGTTTAGTCTGGAGAAGAGAAAGTTGAGAGGAGATCTGATCAATATGTGTAAGTAGCAGGAGAGAATATAGGGAGGATGGAGCCAAACTCTTCTGTGAAAATTGAAGTATAATCTCAGTTTCTAACTGCTCATACATATAAAACCTCTATCTAACCTGAAAATTTTCCTTGCAAGGAAAAGCCTTCTTCTGCTAATGGAGAACAAAATTCATGAGCAGTCTGAATTTTTCATGAAAACTCTAATCTTCACTTTCAAAATATTTTACAGAGATTTTTTTGACAACTCATATATTAATGCCACTTCTCAATTAAGGTTTAATTCAGGAGCTATTCAAATCAGTGGGAAAAAAATGCAATCAGTTTCTCTGATCACTGTATCAGGTCACAAGCTCCTAGAGTGAATGAGCTGGGCTATTTTGGRTGTTTAGTGTTGACTCTATGAATCACGTAGCAATTTAGAAGTGCTGTTTCCCACATACGAACAACAAATTAATTCAAGGCATTAACAAAGAACACATGACACCCTGAAAATATGTGCAGTGAAAGCCTGTTGCTTCAT